ATGAGAAATTTTGGAAAACAAGCTTGATACCCATCCAATCACACAAGTTTTCATAGTAGTTCATAACTTGTCTCCATTAGCCTACATTCGTTCATTTACGCAATTTGGTGCCATACCGTTACTCATACATTGAGAATTAGCCCTGTACGCTGTTCTAACTTGCATCGGTTAAGCGACGTCGCGCGTGTGGCAATCAGCGACGACCGATTTTACGGGTGCGAAAGCCCAATCTACGGGAAAGAGACCAGGTTATTTGCCATTTTAACTACCAGTTTTTTCCCGGGGCTTAGCTCCTGGTCCTGCAAAAGCTATATCCCCTTTACTTTATCCACGATTTCCAGCTTGTCATTTGCCGGGCCCTGCTCAAGAGTGAAAGCAATGTTAATTTTGAAAAAAAAACTTATAGCATTTTGAATTAGAGAATCTGCGAATAAGACAAGAATCAAGGAGACCCATACCCTCGATACATAGAGCCACGTACTCTGGTAACCTTCACTTTGAGGGCTATGAGGGGACACAAACTTCACTTGGAAAAAAACAGAATTCATCTCGGGGCTTCGCCCCGGATGTTATTATCCTGACTATATCGGAACGAATGTTAATGAAGCAAATGTAGGAAATAATATCTTTAGCTTATCTAAGCGAAACCGAGAATTTGCGCTATCATAGCCTTTTTCACCTTAATAGAAGGTTCTGTGGAACCTTCGCCAGAATACAAGACAAAATTTCTCAGTTATCCTCTTGAATTTGAATAAAATCGAGTTTCAGAAGTTTAGGAAAGTTATTGGAGTTAGATAAAAACGAGGAACTGCGCTTAAATCTTGCACAGAGAGTCGCGCACAAAAATGCTGGTATATCTCGTTGATGAGTGATTTTCAAAGCTTGGGACGTTGTCAGTTCTCCTCGAGGTCTCATGACGATCAGAATGATATATATTGCAGGATTTCGTTGAGACCCCGCGGAGATCTACGACCGGAGCCAAATGCCCCGTCGGCTCTGGTCTGTCTCCGCTGCTCGTCTGCGTCTCCGCACGCTGCGCGCTACCTTGCTACCCCAAACGCGGGGCGCAAGGCATTTGGCTCTGGTACCCTTTTCTTCGCTGTTTCGAACCTAATTTTAGCAAGCTATATATCATTTTGAAGCTCTTGATCTCTATTTTCACGATGACAACGTCCCAGAACCAGATTTTTAATTTGATCGAGAAATCCGGCAAAAACCTTGTTGTCGAAAATCTCTTGTTTTTCTCCTAGTTTAACTATTTTCACGCGGTTTTTTCGTGCATTTTATAGATCTTGCTTCTGTTCATAATGCAGACAACCACCCAGCCTTTATCTCTTCGATCATTGTGGAATTTTTTGCGAAAAATCGTACAAAGTGCGTTTTTCTTTACATTGTTCTGTTTCAGTGCTTTCGCATCGATTTTTTTCCAGCTTGGGCGAATGTTGCTCAGAACAATAAGCGCAACAATCCAGGCAACGTCCCAGGAAACAGGAACGTCAACGCGGGGGTGAAAATTCAAAGGACGCATCAAAAATCAAACCCCGTGTTGCGAATTGCTGGTCCTGAAGCAAAAACTTGCACTTTGAAAAGCCGCCAAATGAAAGATTTCAAGCCTCATTGCAGCGTTTTTATTCGGTTTTCAGCAGTTTCTCTTGCGTTTTATATCTGTTTTATGTCATTTCCTCTTCTCTGATCATCTTTAAACAACCTTCACTTTTGACGCCCTGTCTCTAGACTATCGAAGGTATGAGGAGATCTTTTGCCTGCCTTTAGGCACCATTTTGTAAAGCTGGCTTCAACTTGTATTCACAACTTGAACCAAATTCTCGACTGCTCTTCATTACTGTAGGATACGGCAGAGACTTTTAGCTAACTGAAGGACTAACTTTTATGGTAATGTGCAAAATTTAAACTTATATCCAGCGAATTAACTAGTCTAGTGCAACTGTTCTTAAGTCTCTTTACTTACGTAAATTATATTTTCTAGATTATAGGTTAAGTATAATTTGATTTATAGCTCATGAAAAGCTAAAAAAATGTAGGGGGATAAACGAGATTGCTCGAAACCAATAAGGCCGCCTATCCACTCCTTCACATTTTCGATGATAAGATGCTTAACTTTCAAAATGTTGCACTTTTTGTTATGCTCATCCAAGTGGCACAGGATTATCAATTGATTTTGGTTCTGGGGATAGTGATGAGTCCTACCATGGTTTGAATGACACCAAGTGATGGCGTTTGTGTAGCTAGTTCCAATTAATCCTCAAAACATTTCAAAAGGAAGCCCAAGCAAAGTATATATGCTATTATTTATTTTTTAAGCCATATTTTTTAAGCCTATTATTTTTTTTTCAAAGCCATAATAAAAATATCAGTTCGGTGTTACAAAACTTGAGCTGAAATGGCATCTCAGTTGCATAGTACACCATCCTAGCATCCGCTTTCGCATTGAGTGCACGGTGTTCCTGTGGTATAAACATGGTCGTCAAGAACGTTACCCCTGCAACAGCAGAATAAAGCCCTTTGAACCCAAAAACTTAAACTTACTTTGGCGAGTAACGACACACAACAAAGTAGAAAAGGCCAAAGCAGTTTTTGATACCACAGCCAATTTTGTTTGAGTTTGCCCAGACCATCTGATATTACTGAGCTTGGTTTTACGGCAACCTAATTATATTTTTTGTAATTACCTGTGACCATCTCAAGGGTGAGAGCGGCTTGTCCCTAAAGTAAGAAATGAAGTGTGTTTCTTTGTTCATGCCATTCCTCAAAATTTCCGTGAACCACTGATCGGCTGCCTGAAAGATGACAGATGTACAAAAATCTCAAAACAATCTCCTACATTTAGGTGTGTACCTTATGCAGAAGTCTAATTTCATAGTGCAAAAACTTGTCCAGCTTGAAAAAACAAAACTGTCGAATCTCTTTGAGACAATTGCTTTCTCTCGGGTTGGTAGATACTTTCCTCACCTTTACTTTTAGCTGACAATTTCGGGAAAACTCGAACAGCTCACGAATGAATTTTACATAAACGTTACGATAGCTTTCATCACTGGCTTTTAACGTCGGACTACTGCCATAGGAGACAGTGCCCAAACATCTTGACAAATTGTGAAAGGGAAAAGCACAAGGAAAGAGCGGGATAAAGTTTGCAGAAAAAAGTGAAATTCAAGTTGTAAACATTGTGGCTTCTGTGCATTTGCATTCATGTCATTAGATGAACGAGCAGCCCGTTTATCCCTTATGAAGCAAATTCGAGATACGGGAAAAGGCTAAATTTTTATTTATTAGAAAGGAACATTGTGACAGCAATCTTCAGCCATTAATGCAATCAGAGGAATTTATCGTGAATATGTTGCGTTTGCGCTGTTGGATCATGGTACATTATCTAGCAATCATTGAAGCGATCTTACTTAGCGTAACAACTGCTTTAAAAGCACCGCCCACACAGATTCTCGACTTCCATGTTTTTGTCGTTTCGGGGCCTTCTCATGTCCCTGATTCCAAATATGAAGTCGAGAATCCGCGAAAATCGCACAATTCCCGCTTAGGAGAACCCACGGATAGCTAGTAGTGAACGGTGATTGGTTGAGCAGGCATGGATGGGCGGGCATTACTAGAGGGGTGGTGCCGAAGGGTCCTCGTGCCTCTTCGTTGTTCCGCAGCGATTGTCTCGCCCCGGAAGCGAAAATTTGAGCTGCGACTTGGGCACTGGCTTGACAGGAGGCCATACCATTGTAGATTTCAAAAGCTTAAAGGCGCCGTCCACCCAAATTCTCGACTTCCATGTTTTTGTCGCTTCCGGCCTTCTGAAGTCCCTGATTTCGAATCTGAAGTCGAGAATCCCAAAAACCCCTATTTTGGAGAAAGCGGGGCGGGTGGAAGTGCCGTTTGCAGGGCTGCGGCGCGGATATCGCCCGGCGTATTCTAGCGCCGCAGCCCCCAAAACTGCAAAATGGGCGGAGTGACCACCTTTGGATCACGTATCACGTACTTTTTCCAGAGCGGATTTCTCTCTCCGGAAGCAATCTTTTGCGGGGAAACTTGGGGGTTGGCCTAGTGTGGGGGCCCACATTAGTATGCCATTGAATCTCGTGAAGCCTCACTTTGGGTGGACGGTGCCTTTAAGGCTCCTGACTTAGTGAGGAAGATGCCTTTGACGTATGCAAATTATCTTGAGGAAAACTTACACTGGCCAAGAGTTGTCCGTTAGTATATGTAGCACCGTTGGGTTCAATCACGGCTATATTCTCCCCGTGTAATAGACGCTTAGCTTCAGGAGTTTGTGTGAGTGTGCACGAATTAGCCACGGTTTGAGCATCAGTCTCCAGAGCACAATCATATTCCTGCAAAATGGGACTATGACCATCAGCGACCTCACATGCGGAAAAATACCATTTTTCTCATATTTTTCGCTTGCAGTAGTTTCGTGCCGCTGATTCCATTATTGACAATTCCTTGGGCTACTTCTCTTCTGGTAAAAAAGCACCGTCACTTTGAATTCACATAATAACAGTCTTGCAATTTTAAAGAGTGCAGGTCCAACTGAGAAAGAAAGTGAAAGCTAGTCATCATTTAATGGCCATACAAAGGTAAATGTTCCCTTCTTTCACGCTTTTGAAACCATTCACTACTGTTACCTTTGATCCAAGCGGCTTGGCGGCTGGAAGGCGAGGCTTTGTGCTTAATTAAGGCCGCTCGTACCCGCCACGCAGTCTGCGTCTCTCTCATGCGCGTGCTTTCTGATCACTATCTAGCCTTAATTAGGTCACCAAAACCCGCCTTCCAGCCGTAAAGCCGCTTGAATCGAAGAGTAAGCTGAACGACATAGAGGTCTTTAACAGTGCAAAGCTAGCAAAACGACGTACTTAGGTTAATATGCTTGTAGTAGAGCCAAAATCTTACTTAGACATTTCTCTTCAACCTTACCTACAATCCCGAACCTTCCATTATATTTCGCCGGAAACAATGCTATAAAAGTTTGATTTCTCGACACCAACCTTCTAATGTTATGAAGTGTCTCCATCAACATTCGTTCGCCCGCTGCAAGTGCAGTTCCAGAGCAGCTGTATTCTACAAAACAAAGCTTTTTCTAAGTTGATGGTTTCAGTAGCAACACATTAGGATGAACATACCAGCCCTTGCAAGTTGATGCGAACACACGCACAGGAATCCCTGAAAAGATTTTTTTTCAGAGGTTTTTTCTCGAAACAAAATAAAGCCATAGAGCTCAATGGCACTATGATTGTCTTGTAAAAGTGATGGAAGAAAAAACTGATCCAGATGATATTAGCTGCAAGAATTCATCTTTCTCAAGGGTCAGAGGCACTTTTTGCAATACTCGGTACTTTATCTCCTGACAAACTTGACAACGTTAATTTAACCTTAACTCATGAGACCTCTTGAAAACTTTGTTTAGTGTTTTTCGTGCGTTTCAATATTGAACAGAAGAATTTCTCCTGATGAAGTTTAGCGTTATTGTTCAGGAAAGAACGAACAACAAAAGCAAATTTGCAGAGGTTTTGACCCCATAAAAGATATGCGATAGTTAGAATATGAGCAAAGTCTAAAGGAGGCAGAAATTCCTTGCAGAGGCATAGAATTCAAGGCTATAGTGCGAATTCAAAGGGATCAGTGTTGCTAACATGCCAAATTCCATTGGCTCAAAACGAAAATTATAGAAAAGCGCAAGAATGGGTACCGAATGATTGCCACATTCTTCGCTCGCATTAAGCTTTCGCACATTTTTTCAGAAGTGTAAAAGTTTGGCAGCAATATTTTTTGTCAAGGAAACCCTTACCTTATATTGGGCTATGTAGTAAGTTAGTAGTAAGTTCTGTCCTCTTTTTTTCTTTCGATGTTTTTCTCAACAATTCGATGTTTGTCCAAATGTATTTAAGCATTTCAAAGCTCTAAGCCTGCTCTATCAAACGTTCGTTTACTACATGATATGATGAAAGAGTCTTCCGCCACTCAAACCGCGAGGAATGCGCGGTCTTAAAAAAGGAGGAAAAGCTGCATTGGATGATACCTGGTTTGCTATTCTCACACTTTACGTGGTATAAAGTGTCCAAGTAAGTAATTTAGCTACCTCAAAAAAACTAGTTCCAGCAGCTGGCGATCTCAAAAAATTTCTAATTGCACTTTGTTTCTATCTGACATTCTCGAAACTCTCTCGAAAGTCGAAACTAAAAATTTGAAAAATTGCTAAATTCAGAGATGGTAAAAACCATGGCTCAAAATTGGGGTAATTACTTGAATGACCACAAAAATAATCAGGTTAGAAAGATAACCGAAAAGAGGAGAAACTCCATGTCGAACAGTCCTTGAGACTTTTGCCTGTCTTTTATCCAAGACAAACGGAAAGGACTTTTCGACCTAAGACAAGCCACAAAGTTCTCTTTCCACCACCCAAGTAAATTCCAAGAAGTTACAAAACTTACCAGTAAAAGCAAAGCCGACATTTCAGAGCTGTTTGTTAGCGATACCTTCAGGGCTGCTTTTATAGAAGCGAAGGGGGCACACTCGCTATTCACAGTACATTTAGATGCAAATTTTTCTGATCGGGAAATTTACATGAACCTCTGATGTATACTAATGCAAAATGAATATTTCTCACATGGATTCTTCATGGATACAACTGCCCATTGGTTGCGATCTTACAAAAAAATTGTAGAAAATTCAAAGGCGCCAAGATTTAACACATTAACGACAAGGCTGATTTTTCGATTACTGCAGTTTAGGGCCAAAGCCTTTTTTCCTTTGTCAAATTTACGACCCACCCCTGGGTCGTGTTGTACTAAATAGTAGTCTTGGGAAAATTCAAAAATGTTTCCGAAAATATCCACTGAGGGGTCCTCGAAGGCGCTGATTATCAAAATATGATTTCTTTCAGGTTTTCCCATGATACGGTAAGGTTACGGTAGTCTTTCTGTAAACCCAATATTATGGATTTTCATGAGGAATTGTACTGGGGTTATTTCACATGCTGATCACAATTATAGTGCCCATTTGTTCACTGCTGTTCCATGGGGTCACGGTAGCAGTACGGTAGAATTTTCGTAAAAATCAAAAAACTGGTGAAAGAAGGCAGTATTGTGTAAATCTTGATACTACCATTTTCGTAGAGCATGCTACGAAGCCTATACATGTAAAATCTTAGCTTCCTACAAAAAGCAATGAAATCAATTAGATGATAATTCTTTGACGGATCAACATCAGTTTCTTGCCCGACCATTTCTCGTGCATGTACGCCCGAATTTTCAATACAAACATTATTCTGCGAAGAATTTGAGCTAAAGTCTGTGCCTTTCTCTGTCTACGATATACCTACCATTACATTACGTTACAGTATTTCGAGCTCGCACCACTCTAGTTGGAGCATCGCCTAGATGTTCCCACAAGCGCCAGACCGTGAATTTCCATCGCTAAGTGGCGAAACTAGAGCTTCAAGAATCTTGCGACCCATCGGCGGCTTACATCGTCCGAAATGGCAAAATAGCTACGACAGTGGTTCGTATTGTCGTGAATGTGTTAGGAGACGATCACTTTCGCATTCACGAAACCTACTGAGTGATTAGTTTTTCGTAAGCAGACGATCTATCTTTCTTCCTACGTAGCCAGATGATTCCGACTTTGAGGAATTGAGTCCGCTTCCTCCACCAAAGTACTAGCCTATAGAAAACTGGAAGGTATCTTGCTTTGCCATAGTATGGGATAGCAGTCACTTTCTGTCTCAGTTTGGTACCCTCTTTTGCAGCATTTTCTTTCGTAGAAGCGGAACGAAACAAAACTAATTTTCAGAGTCTCCCATTACAACCACCACACCTTTGGTTTATGAGAGTGCATAATTTCTAATTTTAAACAGCCGTAGACAGCTTTTAAACGACATAATTATCTCTTTCTCTCCATCACCCCCAGATAGATTGCGGTCCATAATTAGGCTTTGGCCATGCTTTGCTCGTGTTACCCGTGTTACTGGTGTTACCAGTGTTACTCATTATTTCGCTACTAAACAGCAATAACGGTATCACTAGTAATACTAATGATACCGTTATTGCTGTTTAGTAGTGAAATGATCACAAATACAGTTTCATTCTAAAAGGCAATTTCATTGACTGGTGAGTAACACGAGTAACACTGGTAACAGCGGTAACACGGGTAACACGAGTAACATTGGTAACACTGATAACACGGGTAACACGGGTAAAGTATGGCCAAAGCCTTATATAATCCCTTATTTTGTGTTTGGGACTTTCGGAAAATTAGAGAGTGCTATGTGAAAGAGCATGCCCGAATGCAGAACAAGAAAATCTGTGCCAATCTAAAAGAAGATTGCGTCTTGAACGAAATTTTCGCGGTTCATCATTATAAAAACTCCCAAGCAATACTTTTTTTTTGATTCGAATCCCCAATACTTCTCACTTAAAAATTTTTTGAAGTGGCAGTTGCAAAGCAGGAGTTATCTGCTACACCTTGCACGCTACACCCAGCACCCATACCCGAAGTTGTCGCCGAAGAAGCGTGAATAAGTAGACCATCTTCAAGCTTACAATGTGAATTTTTGAGGCATTTTAGAACTAATATGTAGTCCGCGGAAGCTACAGCATTCCATCCATACATGTTGCAAATTTTTCAACTGTTTTTCAGCATTCAAACCTAACTGAAACGCAGCGTGACATAGTTTGGAATGGAAACTTTGCCTTATCAGCCTTTTCGGTTTGTAATCAGTTTTCTCTTTAACTTTTTATCAGTTGAGAAAATAATAAAAGCAAATTGTTAAAACAAACTTGAAGCTTTCGATCGATGCAGACATTTCGCCGAATGCTTTAAGAATACTAAATTCGACGAAAAAATGCAGACTAATTCATTACATAATCTAATAGCTTATTGTCACTAACCCCAGTGAAGTGGCTGGGTACGTCTTGACAGATTTACACCGCTACTTGCTTTTCACTGAAGCCTCGTTGTTTGGAGCATGTAAGAAAAAAATATGCAAAGCTAGCCAGCTGGATTCTAGCTTATTCATCGCTCCAAGCTTTTACCAAACATGAACGGTACAAAATGCAAAAGTATTCTAGAGAAATACTGTAGGATGCACCAAAAGCACTATGTAATTTTGAAATTATGGTAGAGAATTGCTGCTATAGTGTAGTGCTAAATGAAAAAAAGATTTCCAATCATTGATTGCCTGTATGAAATACTAGGTTAGAAACAATTTTTTACAGGGCTAGTTTGAAATTTTAAAAATCTTAAAAATTATTTTAATTATTTACAAGACTGAACAAGTCAGTTGCACAATTTTATAACCCATGTAAGTAAATTTCGAAAATTCTGCGACCCATTCTCGGGGGGGGGGGGGGGGGGAGCGCCCACAACCACCCCCGCTCCCCCCCCCCCCCGCTCCTCTCCCACCCCCTCCTCACTCGGACCGCCACTGAAACATAGGTACCATCATGCTCAAAAATACATCTGAATGGATTTATTCTGTTAAAATTGAGAATTCCACAATTGGCAGCAGACCTCAGTAAAGTCAGAAGAATTGTATGAATTTAAGTGATTGCCACAAATATGGCCATGAAAGGAGGATTTGTCCGTGGGGAACAACGAAGGAGGGGCAGGAGCGAGCAAAGAGAGCCTAGCTGGACAAGAAAGGAGTGGAATAAAAGGCAAACCAATTCCTTCTAAAAAGGGAAGAGCTCTCCGTCGAAGTGGGGTTTCCATACATGATGCACATCATTCTGTTATTCTTGAGGCAGTACTACCAAGTTCGTTTTCCTCACAATCAGCTGCTCAATGATCTTCTGGGAAAAATTTTGAGGATGGCCAAAGGTTTACTACAAGTCCGCGGCGACAAGCGATGTATAGGTGTGAATGGACGGCCGAGTGGATAGCAGTGGATATTGAGCACGGGTTGTTATCCTGTATTAAACTACCACTTTTGCATTTCTTCCAATTGTTTGGCATAAGTTTGCAGACGCTTTTCAAGGCAAGGAGCCCCTCCTCATAAGCTGCTTAGAAATAATTGGAGCTGCAAGTAGATTGTATGTCTCCTTTTTGTAAAACCTTGCATGTTTTAGATGTTTTGCAATTGTCTAAGCCGTAACAGGTTTTTAAAGAAAAACTTTATTCGCTGCCTTTTCTTTAAAGAGTGGTTGACTCGCTTTCAGGCCTCTGAAGACGGCATTTAGCCGAAACGTCGGGCTGTGAATAAAGTGTTCCTTCAAAAACCTGTTACGGCTTAAAGCAATTGAACAATTGGAGCTACGTCAGCATCGGGGCCACAAGAACTCAAAGTCGTGAATTTAACTCTTTACAAATAATCGAAACACTGAGAACATATATCACACTTTTTCCGCTCAAAAACGTTATACAGGTGGTTACGAGCGTCGCAAACTTATAGTGAGCCGTGGTCATCCTGAGAAACCATCGCTATGACTTTCCCCCACGGGATTGAGCACTCAAGGAGCACGATTTGTTTTTAGTGCCTCAAGACCAGCAGAATGATATGCAGCGGGTGAGGATATCCCACTTTGACGAAGGGCCTCCCCCTTGTAAGAAATATTGAAGATTTGCTCTATAAGGCTGCTTTCGGGGATACCCGTGTGCCAGAGCTGTGCCATAGCTGTGCCAGCGCCATACCAGTACTATGCTGGCTCCCTACTATAACACCCACATGCATGCGATCTGTATTTGCCGATAAGAGCTATCACGAGCTAGAATGGAGCTGACACAGCCAACTCTGGACGCAGTCTTACTTAACTCTATAGGATTCCGTTACATTCTGTGAACTGAAGTAATGGAAAAATGAAAAAATGGAAAAATAAGATTGGTAGCATTTGTGGTAGTTGCGTACTGCTGGCCAAAGCTTTCAAAAAAATTTTACTTATGTTACTACCAGCTAGCATTTAAGTCTATGCTGGTACAAACGCGCTCGAAGTCTGACTTCAATTTTGCAGGGTTATTTAATATTTTGCCTTGCAACATTATCGCCACTTCTTTTTATCACCCATCCGGTTACGAAAGTAAAACCAGTAAAAGAAATTTTTTTACTTCAAAAACTTACACAGTGATTTGAACTTACCCAAAAAAGCGAAGCCAGCATTGCTAAAATCGTTTGCTAGCTATGCCTTTCGGCTGCTTATATATAGGAAACGAGGCGCCCAACTGTTATTTCAACGCGGCAACACTTTTATTAATGAAAATATTTTATCGAATGTCTGATGATGTTTATTGCAATATATTGATACAAATGCGTTGCATTCCGTGACCATCAAACGTTTCCGAAATCGTAAATCGTGGATTTCTTGAAATGTTAGGAGCAGCCAGTCAGCAAGCCAGTGGTCCTCCGAAAGTGCCATAGAAAAAACAGAAACTAACTTAAAGCATGGTGATTGTGTTCATGTGTCGCTACCACTTGGCTCATATATTCTCAAAGGGGCTCGAATACCAAAGATGTGGCTTTTATCT